GCTGACCGCTGGGTACATTCCAGCGGGCACTTCAATGCGAGTCGGCGACTTGGGCGGGCACGGCATCATGGCAACATCGACAATGGTAGACACGACGATGATGGTGGCAATGGACATGGTGACAACGACGACGGCAAAGCCAGTGACGGCGCCGATGTTGATCACGCCGGCAGCGATGAAGGCGTCCTCGCGTCGGTGATGAGAGTTTTGGAAGGAGTTTGACATGCACGCGCGGCCGACGCGCGAGACCCGCCCGCACTGTATATTTGAAACGGACCGTGCCCACCCAGCACGGATCGGGCCTCCCCACATCGTCGCAAACAAAACGCATTGTTTCTAAAGTTTTCGCAGCAGCGCGCGCGCAGGTTTCGCCGCAACTGCATGCTGAAAACCGTGTGTTCACATATGTTTTCGGGACACTCGTTTTGGGTAGCCGTGCTGAACCCACCGTTTTGAAAAAAAATTCAGGCAAGCGCGCGCGACGACGCGCGCGTGCGCATTTCGTCCCATGTGTTGCGCGTGCCTCTTGCGACAGCACATGCGCAAGGGCGATCCAGCGATTTCGATTTGCGCGCGCGAAATGCCCGTTCAGTAGCATGACGCCAACATGTTGAAAGCCAGTGGTTTTTTGTATGGGATATATATATATATATATAAAAACGCGAGCGCAAATCTGTTTTGAGAATTCGTGTTGCGAAACCACGGTTGTTTATATGTGTGGGGGACACTCGGGTTTTGAACTCCGGACGCAACGCATAGTTTGTTGTCTGATTTTGGCACGCGCGCGCGACAACGAACGCGTGTGCACTTTGCCCTATGTGTTGCAAAGGGTTCTTGGCAAATAGCGGTTCGTGGTAAATGAGTGCGCGCGCGGAGTTTGTTGTTTTGCAAACGATGAGGGATGGTGATGCCGGCCTGCTTGGGATGGGACGAACTCATATTTAGGATGGGCGATGGGGCAAAATGGCATAAAACTTGCAAAACGCGAAAGGGGGCCCGCTAATTCCAGGGAGGGGGTAACCCTAATATTCTTCGAGAAAGGGCGAATCTGGTTGTTCCAATGTATGTGGTGTAAGCCATGCTCAGCAGCGCAGAACAATACAAAGCAAGGCGGCGACGAGGCGTAAACGGCGACCACAAGGCGGCGGACCCGACGACAAAGCCCAGACAACGAGCGGCGACGAGGCGGCGGCGACGGCGACCACAAGGCGGCGGATCCGACAACGGAGCCCAATTCCTTACAAAACTATCGAGAAACGGGGGAATTCACGAACGTCTCTGGAGCCCCCTGGCGGTCTGGCGGTGGCTCTGGCGCCGATCCCAGAAATCAGCGCGGCGGCCCTCTTCATGCTCCGAATGTGCTTTCCCCCCGCTTCCGTGCGCTTCACCTCCCCCTCCGCCTGCTGCGCTTTATCCGGCCCCGTTGCCTCCCACGGCGGCCCCCTGACGCCGCGAGGACTCTCGCCGCTGCGCCGAGCAGAAAGTGCTCTTGCTCGACAGTTGCTCCACGACGGCAGCCGGAGAGGGCGAACAGGGGGAGCCCAAGTGGGCCCAGGCTGGCCCAGGAGCGCCTCTGGACGGCCCAGGCGCCAGCATCCTCGTGCTGAGCCCGAGCGCCGTCCCAGAGCGAGCTCAGAACCGGGCACAGCCCGGAGCACCTCCGACAATGCCGTCGGTGCGCCCCAAAGGCGCCCTGAGCGCGTCCAGCGCAGCGCTGCGAGTCATACTCTGGAAAGCCTGACGCTCCCACGCTACAAATCAATGGACGTCCTGGGGACTCTGGGTCGGGTCTCTTGCGGATGGCCTCGTGTGGTCGAGTGCCCACTGTACGCAGAACAATGCGACAGACAAGTTCGAGAAGCGGCCCGGAGGAGGAGGAGGAGGAGGAGGAGGAGGAGGAGGAGGAGGAGGAGGAGGAGGGAGGAAAGGACGAGGACGAGGACGAGGACGAGGAGGAGGAGGAGGAGGAAAGAGGAGGAGGACGAGGAGGAGGAGGAGGAGGAGGGCGATAGGCCAGCGGGGAGCGCAAACAGAAGGCGGAGACGAGGAGGAGGAGGAGGAGGAGGAGGAGGAGGAGGAGGAGGAGGAGGAGGAGGAGGAGGAGGAGGAGGAGAAGGCGGAGGAGGAGAAGGCGGAGGAGGAGGAAGGGGAGGACGAGGAGGAGGAGGAGGAGGAGGAGGAGGAGGAGGAGGAGGAGGAGGAGGAGGAGGAGGAGGAGGAGGAGGAGGAGGAGGAGGAGGAGGAGGGGGGGGCAGAGCCGCAGTCTGCCTGGCCGCCCAGTGCCCACGGGTGGCCACGGGCGCGCACCAGGCAAGACGCAAGACCTCGGCACGCTCACCCGGCCGGCGCACGAGGCGCCGACGAGGCGCCCATGGGCGTGCACGTGGCCGGGCGCCTCCTCGGCAAGAGTTCGCCCCGCGAGCGAGGCCCCCACGAGGCGCCCACGGGCGGACACCCGGCGACACCTCGGCCCACCACCCCCAGCACGAGGCTGACGGACCGGTTTTCCAACGCAACTGCCACACGTGGGACGGGGGAGAAGGGAGGATGGGGAGGTGATACTCCTCCTCCTCCTCCTCCTCCTCCTCCTCCTCCTCCTCCTCCTTCTCCTTCTCCTCCTCCTCATCCTCCTTCTTCTCCTGCTCCTCTTTTTCCTTCTCTCTTTCCTCCTCCTCCTCATCATCATCATCATCCTCATCCTCGTAGGCGCCCACGTGCGGACACCCCCACTCCACACGAAGCGCCCCCGGGCGCACAGCAACCAGGCACCAGCCGACACACCCGGCCAACGACTTGGGAAGGGCGGGTAAGAACCCCAAGCGTGCAAGCATTACCTGATGAACATGCATCCGCGTCATCCTTTTGCGTCAATCTCGAGCGGCGGTCACCAAGTGTGTGAGGGCTGGTGGACATTCAGTGGGAACCAGCTGCAGCTAAGCCCGCTCCTTGAGCAGCCCCCGCGAAGCTAGGCAAGCATGCCACGACCCCCGCCAGTGCAAGCGCTGCGTGGGGAATGGTGTCTCGGGTGTCCTGTTCGGGCAGCGCCGAGGCCGTCCAGGGCAGCTCTCCCGGCCGCCCTCCTGGGCCACCCCGTGGCCATGCCGGGCCGCGCCTGGACCTCGCGCGCCGACCCCGGGGCCCTTCTCGCGGGGAGCGAAAGAGGGTCAGCTGGCCGGGCGTCCCGCACTTCTTGTGGATGCCATGACAATGGACCCTCTAACCGTTCTACCCTTGAGCTATATATATATACATATATATAGGTGTTCTACCCGTTTAAACATGTTCGAAACATGTGCAACACATGTTCTGGCATTTTTTCGATACATATTTCAACGTGCTGGAGACATCTGGAGATATGACTTGGCAGTACATGCCTCCTCTTCATGGACCGATCCTCTTCCACGACGTGCTTCCGTGCTCGCCCCCTGGCCAGCGGGGAGGGGCTGGCGGTCTACCACTGCCTCGTGGACGGCCGGGTGCAGTGGAAGCGGCCCGCTCCGCCGCCTGCCTCGCTCGCACCGCCACCGCCCGCCGCCGAGGCGCCGGCCGCCGCGGAGGTGCCGCGGGCCGCCGGCCCGCCGCCCACGCCGGCGCACGCGCAGCAGCACGGCAGCCCGGAGGTGCCACAGCAGGCCTCGCCATGAATCGGGGGTGGACAGAACCCCCAACAGTGACACGTCGATTGGTGAATTGTCCGTTTTCGGTTCTCGAGAGGGCGCCGTAGCCGTTATTTTCCAGGCTTGCGCCCGCCAGGTTTGGGCCTCAGGTCGTTTTCACTAAACCACGTTTTACTAAAGGGGGTATGTCCATCCCCGAATGAACCCAAGCCTCCCACCCAGACCTATCCTCGCGTGGGGAAGGAATCGCGACGGGAGGCTTTTCGCTATCTTCGGCCTTTGGGGGCCCTGGCCGGGCACCGAGACCGCCAAAAAACAACTCGGGAGGAACAACTGGTCTCGGGGAAGGGGTCCAGACCTCTGGGGGTCGACGCTGTGAAACAATCACGACGTCGGGGGTCTGGGCACATGGGGTCCGAGCAGATGGTGTCCCAGGATCGCGGCTCGATTTGGGGCCCGATTTGTTCCACGCCGACGTCGACGATGCATCGCTGGCGTCGCCGATGGATGCATCGCCGATGCGTCTGCGATGCGTCGGCAATGCGGCGCGATCCTCCGACGCAATCTAATTACTCTGACCCCTTCTTTGGAGATGCCTGCAATGAAGGAAATGAGTCCCTGGAGGGGAATGGGCCCTGAGCTTTCTCGCCGTCGTGTTTGGCCTCCAGGGGACCCTCGCCACCAACCCACGGCCTGGGACGAGCAGGCTGGGCCTCGGGGCAAGGCCCCGGAGCCTAGCACCCGCTCCCCCTCAGGACCCGCCTTCCTGCCCTGCAAGCAGGCGGGTGTTGCTGGAGGTGCCCCTGGCCCAAGGTAACTACCCCCGGGCTTTCCAAGGAGGCCTCCACGGCCTCCAGTGCACTCCACCACGAGGCCTAGAGGCCCCCCTGCAGGGGCTCCAGACTGTGGCGAGAATAGCTGGGGGCACCTTGGGCCAGGGGCGCCTCGAGCACTGAGGCGGACATGTCCCTCTACGACTCCACAGGAGGAGTCTCCAAAAGGTTAAACAATAATAGGGGGACGATTTCTCTATACTATGTTGGCACTATGTTTCGATCAGTCATGCTTTTTGCCGATCTTTCGATGTTCGTTCCAAGCCCGCCTGTAGGAGGACATGCCCGACCCAGCTCCTGGCAGCCCCCGGAGCAGGCTTCCAGGAGCCCGCCCTGCGAGCCCAACCCGTTCGAGCCCATGTCCGAGGCCGTGGACGGCAGGGACGCTGCCGGCGGCGCGCGCGGCAGCGCCGCGGCGGCGCCGAGCGGCTCGTGGGCGGGCTGGCAGGGCGGGCGCGCGGCGCCCCTGCCGAAGCAGCCGCCGGCGCGGCCGATGGCGAGAGGCTGGGAGCCGCACGTGCCCTGCCTGCTCCACGAGGCCGTGAGCAGCATGCTGGACATCCGCAGCCGGTGCCAGGAGCAGCGGCGGCGCGAGGGGGGGAGGGGGATCGAGAGGCTCTCGGGGGAGAAAGGTTCAGGGGGCGATGCATCGCCCCCCAATCGCCCATTGATCGCCGACAGGGGCCTGGTGTGATAGCCCACCCCGCCCAGGAACACTTGGATTCGCACTCGGGGGCTTCTCGAAGATCTATCGGCGATGCATCGCCGATTCGAGCTCCATGCTTCTCCCCCTGAGCTGGTCCTCCCCTCCTCGTCCTCCTCCTCCTTTTCCTCCTCCTCATCCCCCTCCTCCTCCTCCTCCTCCTCCTCCTCCTCCTCCTCCTCCTCCTCCTCCTCCTCCTCCCTTTCCTCCTCCTCCTCCCCTCCTCCTCCTCCTCCTCCTCCTCCTCCTCCTCCACCTCCTCCTCCTCCTCCTCCTCCTCCTCCACCTCCTCCTCCTCCTCCTCCCCCTCCCCCTCCTCCTCCTCCTCCCCCTCCTCCTCCTCCTCCTCCTCCTCCTCCTCCTCCTCCTCCTCCTCCTCCTCTCGCCCCCTCAGGCGTTCCCCCCCCCACAGGACGGCACCTTCGACGGCCTCTATGTGGACTGCACGTTCGGCCGCGGCGGCCACTCTCGGCATATCCTGCGGCACCTCAGCGAAAGGGGGCGCCTGGTCGCGTTCGATGTCGATCCGGAGGCGGTGGCGGTGGCCAGGCTCGGAGCAGGGCGAGCCGAAACGCTGGCATCGGAGAAGAACAAACAACATAAACAAGATCTTTTGGTGCTCCGCGCGGATTTCTCGGATCCGCGCCTGGGCCCCCCTGGCGGCTCCTCCGGCGCCGCCCCTGGCGCGCTCCGCGCGCCAGGGAGGGGGGTCCAGCGCAGATCCAAGAAATCCGCGCGGAGCGGCAACAGTTTATGTTTACGCCGTGTGTTCTTCTTTTTCTTCTTCTTCTTCTTCTTCTTCTTCTTCTAGGGCAGGGCGAGCTGAAACGCTGGCAGCTCTAAATCGGCCCCCGGACCCCTCCCGAGGTCCAAACGCGCCAGTTTCCCGAGCTGCGTCCAGCCGTGGCGACGAGGGCCCCCCCTGAAGGCCAACCACCGTCGTTTCACCCCGCATCCCTCAGACAGGCGGCTGGAGCGAGAGGACAGCAGATTCAAGATCATCCACCGCCCCTTCGCGGATATCGACAAGGTCCTCAGACCGAACACCGTGGACGGCGTGCTGATCGACTTGGGGGTCTCCAGCCCCCAGCTCGACGACCGGCACCGGGGCTTCACGGAAAGGGGCGACGAGATCGCAGACATGCGCATGAACCAGAGTCAGGGCGTGTCCGTGGCGGAATGGCTGAGGCCGACGAAACAAAAGCGGCGTAAACATAAAGCTGCGAGCGCGGACTTCTTGGATCCGCGCTGGTCCCCCCTAGCGGCCCAGCCGACGCCGCCCTGGGCGCGCCTCGCGCGCCAGGTCGGGGGGTCCAGCGCAGATCCAAGATATCCTCGCGGACCTCTGGAAGGTTTTTTTGCTGTAGTTTCCTTGTCTCTACGAGGGACAGCCAGGTGACAGCCGAGGAGCTGGCGTGGATCATCCACAAGTGGGGGGAGGACCCAGCGGCGCGCAGGAATCACCGGCAGGGAGAGGGTGTGTGGCGGCCCTATGGGGCGGGGCAGGGAGTGGTTCCTCGGGGAGCTTCCGCGAATGCCTCGCAGCAAGAGGGCGGGAGGGCTGCTGAGCATCGAAGACACAAGCGTGTAATGGCGCCGATCGCGGAGGGCCGCGAGGAGCCCCCCCTTGCCTCCTCGGAAGGCCGCCCCCCTCGCGCATCTCTTCTTCCTCCTCCTCCCCCTCCTCCTCCTCCTCCTCCTCCTCCTCCTCCTCCTCCTCCTCCTCCTCCTCCTCCTCCTCCTCCTCCTCCTCCGCCTTCTCCTCCTCCTCCTCCTCCTCTTCCTCCTCCTCCCCCCCTCCTCCTCCTCCGCCTCCTCCTCCTCCTCCGCCCCCCCCGCGCACATAGCCGACAGGACAGCGACGCCCTCCTCTCGGAGCGCATCGCGGCCCTGCTCGTGGAGGAGCAGAGGCTCGAGGGAGAAACAACACCATAAACATGAATTTTCGGAACTCCACGAAGTTTATGTTTATGCCGTGTGTTCTTCTTTCGGAGGCGCAACCCTTCGATGCTGTGGACGACCAGGAGGCTTGCTGCCGCGATCCAGAGGGTGAAGAAGACGGACCCGAACAACATGCCTGTGGCGAAGCTGGCAATGCAGGCGCTCAGGATCTGGATAAACCAGGAGATGGATCAGATGGACATGGCCCTACACGGCGCCTGCCATGTGTTGAAAGAGAAGGGGCGGTGCTGCGTAATCACCTTCAAGAGGAAGGAGCAGGAGCTGCTCACAAGGTTCACCCGCGAGCACGAGGACCCAGACGATTTCATGAAGGATCTGCTTTCGCCCTCGAGGCTTTGTGAACTCTACCCCCTGGTGGCCACCAACAAGACATTCTGTCTGAGGCAGATCGACGTGGTGAAGCCAACGTTGGAAGAGGTGCAGTCCAATAACCGATCGCGTTCGTCTGTCGTCCACGTGATAAGAAAGGACGCGCGTGCGGTGATGTTCAACTTGTCCAATCTTCCGTCACGGAGCGTGGAGCAGCGTTTGCGAAAGCCAGATGTTTGCCTGGTGGTCCCCTTCAAGGGCACCGACGTTCCAGATCAAGAGGTTGTTGACTACGACTGGGTCAACGGCCTTCCGCTGCAGCAGCCGCAGCTAGAGGAGAGTGCTTCGAAATCGCCGTCCCCCTCCTACTGCAGGCAACTCTTTATTAGCGACTGTCCCGGGGCCAGAAAGCGGGCACCAGAGAACGACCGTTTTGAACGACGTTGCGGATAAGAGTGAGGGGGCGGGCGCGGTGTGGGTCTCGGGAGAGTCGCGGGGTGGGTCGCAGGGTGGGTCGCGGGTGGGTTACGGGTGGGTCGCGGGCGGGTCGCGGGTCAGTCGCGGGCCGGGAAGCGGGCGGGGCGACGACGACAAACAACAAACAGCAACAACAACACAATCACCACCACCACCAACAACAACAATTCAACAACAGCAGCAAACACAACAACGACAACAACAACTACAACAACAACACCGCCACCATCACCACCACCAACAACAACATCAACATCAACATCATCAACAATAACACCAGCAGCAACAGCAACAGCAGCAAACACACCAGCAAGCGTCCGCACCGCGGAAGCTCACTTCAGCCGCGCACCCAGGGACAGTGAGTGACCGTCTGGCCGCCTCACTCTGATTTCTCTCTGGCGCCCAGGGCTCCGGGGGGGCGCGAGCTAGGGAGCGATGGTGTGGCCCTCCCCCTTTGCCGGGCCAGGCGCGCAGGAAGGGGGCGGGGCGAGCCTCCCCAGGCAAGCGGGATCCTCGGAGGCCCTCCCACGCCTTTCCAAGAAGCGTCCTCGGAGGCCTCCCTGGACTCCCCCTCAACAAGCTCCCTGGCTTCGCGGGAGAAAAGAAAACGTCGTCGTCATCGCCGTCGTCGTCGTCATCAATATCGACATCGCCGGCATCATGGCCATGATGATCAACCGTCGTCATCATCGTCATCGACAGTCACCGCAATCATCGTGTCAACCATCATCGCCATCACCACCATCATCATCACCACCACCACCTTCATCATCAGCACATCAGTGCAAGACCCTGGGTGGATGAGGAACTCCCCAACGGTGGTCCTGATCAGTTGTTGGGTGGTCCTGTTTTTCTTGTTGCCTGGTCCTGTTTAGTTTTTGGGGTTAGTTTTTGGGTGGCCCTGTTTAATTTTTGGGTTGTCTTGTTTTTTGTTTGCATGGTCCTGTTTACTTTTTTAGGGGTGGTCATGATTAGTTTTGTGGTGGTCCTGTTTAGTTTTTTGGGTGGTCCTGTTTACTTTGTTTGCATGGTCCTGCCTAGTCTTTGGGGTGGTCCTGTTTACTTTTGGCGTGGTCCGCTGCACTTCTGGGGTGGTCGTCTTCACGTGTGGTCCTGTTTATCTTTGTTGCATGGTCCTGTTTACTTTTTGGGGTGGTCCTGTTTACTTTTTTGGGTGGTCCTGTTTTTGGTTTGTGTGGTCCTGTTTAGTTAGTGGGTGGTCCTGTTTGTTGTTTTGCATGGTCCTGCTTACTTCCTGGGGGTGGTTGCGTGTAGTGTTGTGGTGGTCCTGTTGAATTGTTGGCTGGTTATGTTTTTTGTTTGCATCGTCCTGTTTAGTTGTTGGGGTGGTCCTGTTTACTTTTGGTGTTGTCCGCTGTACTTCTGTGTTAGTCGTCTTTACTTGTGGGGTGGTCGTCTTTACTTGCGGGGTGGTCCTGTTTACTTTTTGGGGTGGTCCTGTTTACTTTTTGGGTTGGTCATGTTTAGTCGTGTTCCGGGTGTCCTGTGTAGTTTTTGGGAAGTCCTCTTTTTGTTTGCACGGAACTGTTTACTTTCGGGGTGGTCCTGTTCAGTTTTGTGATGGTCCTGTTTAGTTGTCGGGTGGTCTTGTATACTTTGTTGCATGGTCATGTTTAGTTTTTGGGGTGGTCCTGTGTACTTTTGGGGTGGTCCGCTGTACTTTTGGGGTGGTCGTCGTTACTTGTGGGGTGGTCTTGTTTTCTTTTAGGGTGGTCCTGTTTAGTTTTTGGTGTGGTCCTGTTTAGTGTATGGGGCGGTCCTGTTTTTTTTATGCATGGTCCTGTTCAGTTGTTGGGTGGTCCTGTTTACTTTTGGGGGTGGTCATGTTTAGTTATGTGGTGGTCCTGTTTAGTGTTTGGTTGGCTTGTTTACTTGTTGTGCATGGCACTGTTTAGTTTGTGGGGTGGTCCTGTTGAGCTTTTGGGTGGTCCTGTTCACTTTTGTTTGCATGGTCCTGTTTAGTTTGTGGGGTGGTCCTGTGTACTTTTGGGGGTGGTCATGTTTAGTTATGTGGTGGTCCTGTTTAGATTGTGGTGTGGTCCTGTTTATCTTTGTTGCATGGTCCTGTTTAGTTATGTTGGGTAGTCCTGTCTAGTTTTTGGGTGATCCTGTTTACTTGTTGTGCATGGTCCTGTTTAGTTGTTGGGGTGGTTTTGTTTACTTTTGGGGGTGGTCATGTTTAGTTTTGTGGTGGTCCTGTTCAGTTGTTGGGTGGTCCTGTTTACTTTCTTTACATGGTCCTGTTTAGTTTGTGGGGTGGTCCTGTTGTGTTGCTGGGTGGTCCTGTTTACTTCTCTTGCATGGTCCTGTTTAGTTTTTGGGGTGGTCCTGTTCAGTTTTGGTGATGGTCATATTTAGTTATGTGATGATCTGTTTAGGTGTTGGGTGGTCCTGTTTACTTGTTTGCATGGTCCTGTTTAGTGTTTGGGATGGTCCTGTTTAGTTGCTGGGTGGTCCTGTTTACTGTTTTGCATGGACCTGTTTGGTTTGTTGTGCTGGTCCTGGTTACTTTTTGGGGTGGTCATGTTTAGTTATGTGGTGGTCCAGTTTAGTTTGTGGGGTGGTCCTGCTTACTTTGTTTGCATGGTCCTGCCTAGTCTTTGGGTTGGTCCTGTTTACTTTTGTTTGCATGGTCCTGTTTAGTTGCTGGGGTGGTCCTGATTACTTTTGGGGGTGGTCCTGTTTAGTTTGTGGGTGGTCATGTTCACTTGTATGCATGGTCCTGTTTAGTTTTTGGGGTGGTCCTGATTAGTGTTTGAGTGGTCATGTTTACTTGGTTGCATGGTCCTGTTTAGTTTTTTTGTGTTGGTCCTGGTTACTTTTGGGGGTGGTTATGTTTAGTTTTGTGGTGGTCCTGTTTACTTTTCGGGGTAGTCCTGTTTAATTTATTGCATGGTTCTGTTTAGTTTGTGGGTTGGTCCTGTTGTGTTGTTGGGTGGTCTTTTAAACTTCTTCGCATGGTCCAGTTTAGTTTGTGGGGTGGTCCTGTTTACTGTTGGGGGTGTTCAGGTTTAGTGTTGTGGTGGTCCTGTTTAGTTGTTGTGTGGTCATGTTGTCTGTTTTGCATGGTCCTGTTTAGTTGTTTGGGTGGTCCTGTTCAGTTTTGGGGTTGTCCTGTTTACTTTCTTGCATGGTCCAGTTTAGTTTGTGGGGTGGTCCTGTTTACTATTGTGGGTGGGCATGTTTAGTTTGTATTGGTCCTGTTTAGTTGTTGGGTGGTCCTGTTTACTTTTTTGCATGGTCCTGTTTAGTTTGTTGGGTGGTCCTGTTTACTTTTGGTGTGATCCGCTGTACTTCTGGGTTGGTCGTCTTTACTTGTGGGGTGGTCATGATGATAATGCCTTTTCCTCGTTCCCATCGTCGTCTTCCTTCCCCTTGTTCTCATCCTCGTCTGCCGGATTCTCACCATCCTCCTCATACCCCCTTTTCCTCCTCCTGCGTCTCGAAGACTTCGGAACCACGCGATAAACGTGTGAGATTCTCACCCTTACCCAACTCCTCCCTCAACCTGCATCACCCAACTTGCCTCCGCCTTTACCCCAATAGTACACTGGACCACTGAAAAGTAAAAAAAGAGCACCGCCTCAAAAGTAAACAGGACCTCCCCAAAACTAAACACTACCACCCCAGAAAAAAAACAAAGAACCAAAAAAGGCACCACCCAAACAGGACCAACAACAGGATCAAAACAGGACCCAAAGATCTGAAACAGAGCCAACAGCCGGAACAACAACACGACCAAAAACAAGCATACACAGACCCAAAAACATCACCAAACACATTACGAAAATAATGACCCGAAACATTTCCACGCCACAAGTAAACAGGACCACCCCTAAACTAAACAGGACCGCCCCCAAAAAAATGCCACCCCAAAAAGTGTAAACAGGACCACGCCGGGAGTAAACAGGACAACCCAAAAAAACACAAGACCAGCCAAAAAAGTAAACAAAAAAAAAAAAAAAAAAAACTAAACAGGACCGTGCAAAAAAGTAAACAGGACCACCCAAAAACTAAACAGGACAACCCCAACATTTAAACACGACCACCCCAAAAGTGAACAGGACCACCCCAAAAATAAACAGGACCACCCAAAAACCAGACAGAACAACAACAAAAGTAAACATTGCCACCCCAAAACTAAACAGAACCACGCCAAAAGTAAACAGTACCACCGAAAAAAGTAATCAGGACCACGCAACAAGTAAACAGGACTACCACACAACTAAAGATGACCACCCCAAAAAGTAAATCATGCAAAACATAAACAGGACCACCCAAAAACTAAACAGGACCACCCAAAAACTAAACAGGACCCCCAAAAAAAGTAAACAGGACCACCCCAAAAAGTAAACAGGACCACCCCAAAAGAAAACAGGACCACTCCACAAGTAAAGACGACCTCCCCAGAAACACAGCGGACCACACCAAAAGTAAACAGGACCACCCCAACAACTAAACAGGACCATGGAAAAGAGTAAACAGGAACACCCAAACACTAAACAGGACCACCACAAAACTAAACATCACCACCCCAAAAAGAAAACAGGACCAATCAAAAAACAAACTGGACCACCCAAAAACTAAACCTGACCGCTCAATAACTAAACAGGATCACCACAAAAAGTAAACAGGACCACCCCAAGAGTAAACAGTACCACCCCAAAAGACAACAGGATCGTCGAAAAATCACCGGCGTCATCAGCACCATCATCATCGTCATCATCATCATCATCATCATCATCATCATCATCGCCATCATCATCTTCTGGGCACGGAAGGTAGCAACAGATCACCGTGCAGATCATTAATATGATGTTTGACCCCTTGGTGGTCCA